AACCCCGTGGCGATCTACCGGGGAAACTCCATTTGCTTTGGCTTATGGCATGGAGGCGGTCATACCTTTGGAAGTTGGCATGCCCACCCTAAGAAGCGAGAGTTTTGAGCCCGAACTGAACGCCGAGGCTATTGCCTTGGAGCTGGAGCTAGTGGACGAGCATCGGGAGAAGGCCCTCATCCATGTGGCCGCCTACCAACAAGAGCTCTCAAAGAAATACAACAAGACGGTGCACCCCAGACCGTTCAAAGTTGGTGATTGGGTTTTGAGGAAAGTTATGGGCAACACCCTGGTGCCAGGTGAAGGCAAACTAGGGGCAAATTGGGAAGGACCCTACAAGATCACCGGTCTGGCGGGCAAGGGGGCTTACCACTTGGAGGATCTAAAGGGAAGAGCAATACCCTGGCCATGGAATGTGGCCAACTTGAAACTGTATTACTTTTAAGTTTTTGTTATATTACTTTTAAGTTTTTGCTTTCTTTTCTTGTGCAAAGGAATTTTTTGGCTTGCACTTCACAATGTAAATCTTTTTGTCAATCTATAGAAGTCATTTTGCTTTAGCACTTGGACTGTTGCTTTAATGTAAACAACCGAGATGAGTTATTCCGGTAGGAAGAGTTGGTGTTTTGTCCAACTTAGGACTCCCAATCGAGATAGTTTATTCCGGTTGGCAGAGTTGGTGTTTTGTCCAACTTATGACTCCCAACCAAGATGATTTGCTCCGGTTGGAAGAATTGGTGTTTTGTCCAACTGCGGGTTCCTAACCGAGATGGTTTGCTCCGGTAGGAAGAGTTGGTGTTTTGTCCAACTGTGGGTTCCCAACCGAGATGATTTGCTCCGGTTGGAAGAATTGGTGTTTTGTCCAACTGCGGGTTCCCAACCGAGATGGTTTGCTCCGGTAGGAAGAGTTGGTGTTTTGTCCAACTGTGGGTTCCCAACCGAGATGATTTGCTCCGGTTGGAAGAATTGGTGTTTAGTCCAACTCAGGATTCCCAACCGAGATGATTTACTCCGGTTGGAACAGTTGGTGATTTGTTCAACTTTGTTATCACCAACCGAGAAGGTTATTTCGGTTTAAGAATTCATTTTTATTCTAAATATTTCAACCGAGCTATGAATTCCGGTTGACAAGGTGTTCAATCTATGATTTAATACCAAGATGCATGGCCGAAGATGGAATTTGATAACCGTGCAAACACTTGGCGAAATTTGAGTTTTTCATTGATAGGAAAGTAAATACAAAAGGTGGGAACAGAGCCCGGTTACAGCAAAAGCGCGAAAGCAAAAATACAAAAATAGAAGGAAACTAAACCAAGGGGGAGAGATGGGTAAATTCGTCCTCGGCGGCATCAAGGTTGATGGTTGGACTTGTTTCTTGGGCACCGGGCTCGTCGTGGCCGGGCTGCTCCTGCACCTCAGCATCTTCTGCCTCTGAATCTGTCTCACCATCTCCTTCTTCAAGCCCTTCCTCGGCCTCCGCTTGCAAAGCGCTGAATACGTCGTTTGCGTAAGGCACGAGGTAGACCGGTAGCTTGGCAGGAGGAGGATTGGCAAATACGTCGGTGTCAGAGCCTTGGCCGAGATGCTTGCAAGCGGACTTCCAGCCGGCTTTGAAGTAAACATCTTGTGTGGCAAAGACTTGTTTTTTGTAGCTCTGCTCGGCTTCGTTGAAGTCGGTGTTGTTAGCAGCCCGGCGGTCTTTCTTCTGCGCCTTTTTGAGCCTGCTTAGCTCGGTCTGGAGCTCATCCCGCTTTTTCTCGGCCGCATCCAACTGACCGAGCAGTCTGTTGTTGTCGGCGTTAGCCATCTCAAGTGAAGACTTTGCCCGGCCGAGCTCGGCTTGGAGGCTCTCGACTTGGCTGGCGGTGTCGCTCGCCTTCTGCCGAAGTCTGTGGATGCGCTCCATGACCAAGTGCTGCTTTTGGATGGCCTGCAAAATTAGAATTTGATCAGAGGAGAAACCATGCAAACACTTGCATAAATTGAAACAGAGGATTGAACTTCTTACCCTGGTCATGGATTTCACGGCGGATTTGACCAGCCGGGTGTCAGGAACGTGGTCGCTTCCAACCACGTCGCTGGGGAGCAGCAAAGCCTTTGAGAGGTCGAAGGCAAGCAAGTGCTCCTTGTCGCCTTTGACCGAAGCATTTGCCGGGATCTCTTTTCCCCGGTGTTTCAGCTGCGGCCGCCATGCTGGGATGGTGCTGACCCTGTCGACAGGTTGCTCGGTTGCCAGTTCGGTGATGAGCTCGGCAGAGGGATCGGCCCGTGGTCTTTTGCCAACCCGGCGTGTTTCTTGGCCAGATTGCCCGGCGGCTGGGGAGGCTAAAGCGACCACGGCGGCACTCGATTGACCGGCAGCCGGGGAGCGGGCGATGACATTCGGTATCTCGGCCGAGGTTGCGGTTAGAAGATTTTTGATTCGGCTTCTTTTGGCCATTTCTTGTTCGTCTGTTAATCGGATTAAAGGGACGTCAGGAAGGGTCGGGTCTGGAGGAGGCGAAGGAGCACGGAGGAAATCTGTTACTCTCCTCCGGCGAGGAGCAGAGTACCTGTAGGTCGGAGTGTAACCGAGTAAATCGTTGCAATCTCGGTGGGAATATCGGAGCACGGTCCGAATCGCCTCGACATTGGGAAATTGATAGTTGGCTTGCAAGGCTTGGATTGCTGCAAAAGAAACAGGAAAACCGGTTAGTTACAGTATAAAGAGGTAAGCTAACCAAGCAAGTTTGAGCGGCTTACATGAGGAACCGAAGTCCTTGTTGATAAACCAGCCCGGTACCTCGGCTGTTTCGTAATTGCCCGACACCCAGAAAAAATCGTCGTCGTGCAGATCTTTATCCGGGGTGCCGGTTACAATAAGCAGACTGCTCGGTCACCGGTGTGACCCATTGTGTATTGCCTCAATATCTTGGCTAGACCTAAGTTGGTGCCTAGCCGATTGTTCAACTCATGAACGCCGTTGATAATTCTATAAGTGTTGGTGGACACTTGGGTAGGTGCCAGCCCGGTGCGGCGGAGGAACTCGGTGATAAGTGGATTTAATGGAAAACGGAGGCCCCCTTCGATAATTGACAGCACGGTGAAGGGGCATTGGTCTAGTCTGCCCCAGGGTGTTGTCTCCTCTTCAGCCAGTTCGAGATGGACGTCGGCCGGGATGCTGTACTCCTCTCGGAATGCAGCCAGCGCGGCCGGAGTATCCACTAGGAAGCGGAATTTCCCCATTTGTGGCCGGACTGAGGTAGCTCGGCTGAGGTGTTTGGCACGGTGGCAATTGGTAATTGCTCGGTCTTGAGAGCCTGAGGAATGGATAGTGGTCCCCTTGGACTCTGCAGGAAAAGGATGGCAAGTGTAAGTGTGAGCGCGGTCGCGCGGAAAGAGCTGGACTTTAGCTCGGTCATTGAGGGTGCCAAACCACCTCGGTCTGCTAAGCTAACTAAAGAGCTCGGTCGCCCAGACAGGCCAGTTGTTAGCCCGGTTGAGCAACCATTTCCTTTTGTTATCTCGGTTTTTGCTGGGGTTGAGACAAACATATTATTTGCTCGGTTAGATGGATTTTTCGAATCAAATGAAGACCAGGAGCCCGGTCCGCCCCAGTTCTTCAGTGTTCTTCAGGAAAATAAAGAACACCAAGAACAGTGGGAGGTTTGGGACGGTTTCTTTCTATTGCCTATGCCCTAAGAGCTACGTTTTAGTGCCCTAATGTGTATAATATTAGAGAAGATAGCAACAAAATAGGGGTAGAAGGACTTACCAGTGAATGGCAGGAAATGTTCCCTCGAGCACGAAGAATGGCAGACGAGGCTGGGAGAGGTTGCTTGAGCTCTGAAGTGTAGGGTTGAAGAGAAGCAGTAGGAGCGAGTTGAGTAAGAAGGGGTCCTGTATGTATGGGCTAGAGAGAGACCGCCCAAATTCAAAATTCTGGCAAAAACGGTGGGTTGGCTGCTCGATAACCAGTGGCAGCCCGCCACGTGTCCCCATTTATGGTGACGTCAGGACTGAAGCGACGGGTTGAAGAGTCGAAGGGACAACCGGGCTACTTGCGAAGAAAAGGACATCAGCCGAGGAGTATAACCGGGCAAGTTTGCAGATAGCCATGTTAACTAGCCCGGTCGCCCTTTGGCATCTTGAAGACCAAAGAAATGTTATCTCGGTCGAAGTGAGTAATCCCAGTCACGCTTTCGCGGACGGAATTAAGGGGCAATTGAGAGGGTGATTTATGATCTGGAACTGGGCCGAGGTAACGGCCGAGCAGGTCGAGAGCCCAACTGTGCTTGGGGCCGAGATGATCAACTATCCGCCCGGAGATGGGCTGCCGGAACTTGGGCCGGGCAGAAATTGGGCCAAATGTGTGCCGCCTCAGACCGTAAAGAAGCTGCTCGGCAAGGCAATGCTCGGTTGGACCGAGCTGCTTGATCATGGGGATGGCTGAAGCCAGACAAGCTGAGTGACCGGCGCCCGGAAAGGTATGGTCAGCCGAGGTAACCGTTTGGTCGGCAGAAAGGCCAATCCCAGGAGGTGTCCCGGGCTCAGCTTTGCCGAGATGCCTCCTAGCCCGGTCCTCCCTGGGCCCAGTCAGTGAAGTGCTTGGGTATGAAGCATAGCACGGCCGTGGATAAAGAAGCTCGGCTGCCGAGCTCCAACTGAGGGGGGAGGCAGTTGGGATTAGGTGACGTTCGGCAAGGTTTAGGTTGACAGAAGGGATAGCAGAGCCACGTGTCGGGAGATGACTGGGAGTGGATATGAAGCGCAGAGGGTAAATAAGCATGTCTGCGCCCCCCATACGGGACACACGAACATTCTGTAAGGAAATTATTACACTCAAACACTCCTCTCACTCCCTCTCTATCCTAAGGTGTGTGCTAACTTGATCGTCGGAGGGTTTTTCCGGCCACACACCGCCGGGTAGCTCACCTTTATTGGCTCACAGGTGATCGGACGGAGACGGAGCTCGGAAGAAAGGAGTACGGGCATTGCCGGAATATTTGCTCCCCATACAGTTTCTATCACCTCCATGCTTCAGAGATCCCATGTTGTTGATGTCAAATGGAAACCACCCGCTCCTAACATAGGCTCGTGTTCCAAATGTTCCAAATTTTCATGGGCTCTCATATCAGGAGGATACTCGTCCCCGTGCTTTAACTTTGGCGCAGTACTATCTCTTTGTTCTCTATTCTTCATGTCTTCTGGAGGAATCCATTCAATTGGATATGGGTAATTTTTAAACTCAACGGAGACCAAAGAATGATTGCTTTTGTTTTTGACCTCTGGTTCATGTTCTTCAATCTTTACATGCTTATCTTCTTTCTTATTGCACGAGTGATTAGGGCATCCACAACAGTGATTCTTTTCATATTCAAATCATGGCTGATCCACTGAATAATGTGCGAAAGGAACATAATGAACAGGATAGGTTTCTGGGAAAGAAGGATAACCTCCATGACACTGAAATGGTGATGGCGATGGAAAATGAGGATAAGGAGGTCTGAAACCACCATAACTTGGGAAATGGTTATGGTTGCAACAACCATGACATCCCACAGGAATTGAACAACCATAGCTGCCACCATAAGGCCAGGTTTCATATGTTATAGGAGACTTAGATGGATCCACATTGACCTGAGGTGGATATGGAATACCTTCGAAGCTCGGATAATAATCCTGTGTCTATGGCATTTGATTTCTCTGATGGCGAAACGAGTCCGTGCATCTGTAGGCCGGATACATCTTATAAACCTTTTCGAATCGGAACCGCCTGAACAAAGAGAAGAAAAAAAAAAAAGTAAATTAATTTATAGATAATAATACACACATACTACCTGTAAAAGTATCCTTATGAGCAACAGATTTTTCAGAAGAAGATTATTTAACTTATTTTCCTTTCAACAAGAAGTAAACAGAATATGATAGCAATACGAATAGGTTTTCAATTGACAAATAGAATAAAATCTCACATGGAACCAAAAACAAAAATAATATAAGAAAATCAATTATGTATTAACCAATCCCCTATGCATTAACCAACAGCCCTTTGGCACAATTACAGAACAAAATCAAACCAACAAAATTGGATTTCATTAATTCACTTACTCTCTATTTATGCTCATCTTGTCCTCTTCTTTTTCTTCCTCCTAATTTCTCATTCACTTGCCTACTCCCCTTCACTCACTCTAATAATAAACCAGGCAATCATCACCCCCACCATCATCTAAAGAAACCCTCTTTAGCATCAAATTAATAGACTCAATCCCTTCCCCCTTATAACTTATATTCAATGTGTTAAATATCCCTTTCTCCAAGTTGATGACTAATATGATTCAACTATATGTGATGATGTTCTCTGTTGTTTTGTACATCAACTAAACATATAAATAAATATAGATCTACATAACATTAAATTTACATATGTAACACAATAAAATAAAACACATTAGCAAATAAGAATCCAAATTTAGGGAAACTGTAAACAAAAATCAGAGCTGGAATATACATATCATTAAATTTACATATATAACACAATAAAATAAAATACATTAGCCAATAAGAATCCAAATTTAGAGAAACTGTAAACAAAAATCAGAGCTGGAAGTGTTTTCACATAAACTAGCAAACAGCTTAAGTCTTGAACCAGACTAGTCCGAATTGCAGCTTTCAAAAACTGGCCTTTTCAGCAACTTCTTATAAAACAAGCATTAAAAATTCTTTAAATTTAAAAAATGACCAAGATGGATGCTTTGAAAACACAACAGAATTTGAGCCAGTTGGAGCCTATGTTACACGGACTCTTCTATTTCCCCCAGAGTACCCGTGTCCACCGGATATGACAAGGGTAAGGGTGTAAGATATGTGTCCGACACTCGTACCCAATTTAGACACTCAGATCCTTTAATTTGTGACAATACATGAAGAAGAAGACACTCATATTTGTTAGTAAAGCAATATTTTTAGACTAATAGATGAATTAGATATAAAAATTTCATATTTTTTTTCAATCATATTTAATTTTAATATATTTCTCCATAATTTAAAACATCTCATCCGAAAATATTATATAATATGCAATATATATGTGCATATGATGTGTCCCCGTACCCATATCTAATTTTGGATACATACCCCAAGATCTTAAGATTTAAATTTATGAAGGTCTAACGCTTGGATACACATCCACACCCGCACCCGATAATCATACCCGAGTCCATGTAACATAGGTTGGAGCTATTAATAGGCACTGATCTGATTTTTTTCTGACAAAATAAATACTACTCTATACACAATAGAGAATGACCCATATTTTATCAAATGTTTGATCACTTTCTTTGTATCATAAACATGCTGTTACAGAAATCAGAATACATAATCGCACTAGCCAAACACTTTTCCAATCATTTTAACTGTATTCAGTTACTTGAAATGATTTCGAGACAATGCAAAACAAATTAGCCCAACTACAAACCCACCATGAAAAAGGAAAAATTAGAACCTTGGAACATGCAGTGTATGTACTTCAGACCACATTCACAAGAGAAATCAAATAACACTCGCTACAACATCCAAAACCAATATCAAATCAACAAATTACTATAACAACAAATTACATACACAATTCAGATCAATGCAACAAGCCTTGATTTTAAAAATATTGTAATCAATTTTTTTTTAAATTTTTAATTTTAATATACTCAAAAAGAAAACAAAATATAAAAATGTATTAAATCTTCAAATTTTTTAGATCCACTTAATTTTAATTTACTTAAAAAGTAAAAAAATTGAACAAAAATCTTTTAAAAAATCATTGAATACAGCAAAATATAAAAAAATATATTGAATTTTTATATGTTTTATATTTAGTGAATTTAAAAAAAAATTACAAATATTATACTTTTTAAATATATTTAAATTAGGTGTATCTTAAAAATAAAAAAATTATGTAAAATATTAAAAAAATTTACTAAAAAATAATAATTTCAATTTTCTGAAACCAAATATGATAAATATTTCTTACCACAAATAACTCTTAACAAACCCAATGAATTTGCCATTTGTAACTTCAACCATAAACCAACATAACACACGCACAAAAAAAAAAAAAAAATAATGGAAATTTTTTTACAATTATTTTTATGGAGCAGCACATCATAGATTTCATATAAAATTTTATAAAAAGAAAATATCTCACGTCTCAAATACCCACAAAATTCAAAATTTCCAAATCATATAAAAAATAATAATAAATCAAAAAATAAATGCTATTTATTACAGAAAAAGAAAAAAAAAATTAATATTTAAAATTTCAATTAGTATGGTGTGAATTTAAACTTGATCCGTATGTTTCAAATACCTCGTACGCTATAACGTTTAAAATTTGAATATACGATGAGAATTTAAACTTGATATATAGAGATCCGTATATTTCAAATTCCTCGTACCACATAACAATGGTGTTTACAGAAATGCAGAGCAATGCAGAGAGAGTAAATAAAAGAATTAGAGAATCCATGAAATCACTTACAGTTTACAGAAGATGATTGAAGAAAGAAAAAAAACCTCCAAATCGCTCCACAAATCCGAATGACTCAGTTGTCAGAACAAAACGATCCACCAACCCAAAACCTGAACCTAAAAATACAAAGCTCTGTGCGCTCTCTTATCGATCGACCAGTGTTCTTCTCTGAATAATCGATTTTCCAAATTCGACAATATATATAAATAGAGAGAGAGAGAGAGAGATTGTTCTCCAGCATTCCAGATGTTTGGCGTGATTTCAATTCGTTGAAACGTCCCTAGATGTTTCGCGCCACATCAGTCCTCTTAGATTTTGCCACGTGTGAGTCGTAGTCGATAAGAGCTGTCAGAGATGGACAGGGATTGTGCTCATCGGCAACTGGTTCTATTACAAAGTATTTGCAATCGGGTAGTTGTACGAACCCAATTCGTGAAGATGTCTAGACTTTTTTTTTAGGAAAATGAGTGGGAGCTCTAATTAGAGCTACCACTAATGATGCATCCACTGCCACAGGATGTATTGTGTCTGTTGTTGTTGTTGTTGTTTTTTTTTTTTTTCTTTTTTCTTTTTTTTTTTTACTTTTCCACCTCATTAGTGGTGGGTTTAGATTCACTAAATTAGTGGTCTCTATCATGATTGATTAGTCTATTTATTATGCAACCTAATTTTGTGATATATTGTAAATCAATAAAAAGAAACACATAATTTTTTTCAAAAAGTCTACAGAATGTAGCACTAGCAGTAGTGCATTCATTTTAACGGAATGTAAACTTTATCTGGGACGAATGTAATATTGTCAACAACTCCATTTTAATACAATATTAAGTACTAGCGTATGCCCGTGCCTGAAGGCACGGTGTAATTAATGATGACATTAAAATATAAATCAAAATTAGAGAGTGATGTATTCAAATTTTTTGTTTTGTTTTGTTTTTTTCTCTTTTCAAAGAGTAGGTAATGAATTAACGGGAAGGAGAAAAATCCCTAAATGAAGACATGAAACTTAAATGAAATACCAATTTATTAGTAACCCAAATAAATTTAAGGAACCCCCAAAATTAGGAACATCCATGACTCTCAAAATGATGTAGACCAATCATATATTTTTATTTTTTTTTCTTTCATTCCTAAACCAATCACAGGTGAGTGAAAGTTATAAAATTGTATTTTTTTAAGAATATGTAACGTTTTTGATATTTTTAATAAAAAAAAAATCTTCCCAAGATAAATTGCACTTCTCCCAAATTGAAATACTTCCTATCAAAACACAGAATATACATGTGTGTGTACAGGTAAGTTGAACTTGTGTTTTGTGCAAATGAATAAAAATTAAGAGAGGATGTTATACGAAATGGTTCATTTAGGGTTCATTAACATACCCTGACCCTGGTTACATTTAGGGGTGTGCATAAAAATCATCCTCTCATCATTCCACGCCAACTCAAACCAATCTGAGCAGCTTGAGAAGACGCAAGCAAGTTGAGCTGATCGGATTAGTTGACTTGCAGTTTAAAATTTGTTGACCTGCCTACAAAACCAATCCAATAACCCCTGAGCTTAGGAGTGACAAAGGAAAATTCCAGAAGAAGCATTAGCCACTTGGTTAGCCATCAAAAAAGCTTTGTGCACAGCTAAAGCCTCCGATTGGAAAACTTAAGTAGCTGAGACATGTTCGTTGATAACATTAATCCAAGATCCAAACACAGCCTTAGAGTGGTGACATCCACTGTCCATGGATTAAAATAGCCTTTGAAAGCAGCACTGCCAGTTCGAATAAAGATCTGTCATGTTCTTCTTTCTCTATGGAAAAGGGAGAATGTTATACATGGTCTAAGTCTTTGGTGAGAATTAGAAAAATTCTCCTAACAGTAACATCTATTAACTTCAAAAGCAAACTTGACAACATTGCACTGTACCAGCTAATTCATATTTCAATCATCTGTCAAATGTATACATACATATTGTGTGATTTCAAAAAAATTCCATTTGGAAATACATATTCTCAAGCAACTGATTGAAGGCAGACAAAAAGAGAAACTGAAAAAAAAAAGAAAGTAAAAAAATAAAAGAGATTGTCAACTTTATACAACAATTATGATAGCAAAAACTTCCAATTATGAATTGGCAACATGTGACTTCAGATGCCAGATGCATTACATTCTTCAAGCAGTTGAAGGATGTTTTGTTCAGGAGCACTGATAGATGGTAGAATCATGCGGTTAGATGGGCGCCGTGGTTTGGGTCCCACA